GCGGGTTCAGGCAAAGCCAGCAGTCTGCTCCCAACTCTGGGTCAGACTGATTGAGGAGGTGGTGGGTTGAGGACAAGTTTAACAGGTTCACATCCTCCACGGTCAGGGCTGGGGTGATGAGGGAGGAGGCGAGGGTAGTCGGGTTGTAGGGGAGGTTAGAACTGGGGTTGTGAAGGAGGAGGATCTGTGTTGTTTGGGGGGTGGCTTTGGGAGTGTTGTATGACCCCCGCATTTTGTCCTATAGGGTGGTTGGGTTGGGGCAGGGTTACTCGCTGGATGGTAAAAATGTTTCCCATGTCCCACCCAGACATATATACCCTGAGACCCCAGGTTCGCCCCGTTGTCCATTTACCATCGGGGGTAGTTATGGTTATCTTGAGTGGGTTACAAGACCCGGTGTAGCACGGGGATGGGGGAGAGTCTCGGTTAAAAGAAATGAAGGAGTCTGTGTTTTTGGTGTACCCTGATATAGTGGAGATAGTTTCACAGCCCCAATGGGGGCAAAAAAACTCATTTAAGTTTCCACAGTTCCATCTTTTTTGTGAGGTGGATGCTGGGCACAGATATAATCCCATGGTCTGGAGTTGTTTCTCTGCCCCTGAACTGCCACACCCGGCTACATTTCCACTTGTTCTGAAATTCAGGTTTGGGCCCAGGAGGGCACAGAGGTCTAGGGAGAAGGTAATGGGGGTCTTTGGAATGTCCTTTAGGGTTATGTTGACTAGGGTGGATCCCTTCCCAGTCAAGGAACTAACATATTCTCCAGTGGAGCCCTCGGTGAGGACCCATTGATAGTAGGTGGGTTCTAAGAGGGGTTTGCCATAGGGTTTTACAGCACGGATTAAGGTGGCGAGGGTGGTAACCGCAAAGAGCGCACAAGTCTTAGCTTTAGTGGATCTGAGGATAAGTGGTCGAGGCTCCATCGTTCTTCTGCTGGGGCAGTCTTGACGTGGTTGTGATGAATCCAGGCCGCCAATCCGTCCACTTTGAGTGTGGTGGGAGTGGTCAGGATAACGGTGTACAGTCCCTTCCGGTGGGGGGCCAGGCAGGAGGTGGCGAATCTTTTAACAAGGAAAGAGTTTCCAGACTGGAAGGAGTGTGTCGGCTAGTCTGCGAGGTCCACTGAGGTAGGACGGGTGTCCTTGATGAGCCAGTGCACCTGGGACTGAACAGACTGGCGTGCCTGTAAGGACTTAAGGAGTACATGGTTACGGACTTCAGCATGCACGGTGTCCGTGGGCCTGGGGAGTAAGGGTGGGGGCCTACCAAACATGATTTTGAAAGGAGAGAAGCCTTTCTGATGGTGTGTGCATGGGACACGGAGGAGGATAAAAGGGAGCAGGCTGACCCAGTCTTTGCCCATTTCCAGGATAAACTTTGTCAGGGTTTCTTTTAGGGTCCGGTTCATTCGCTCGACCTGTCCTGAACTCTGGGGACGATAGGCACAGTGTAATTTCCAGGATAAACCCAGAGCCTTGGCTAGGCTCAGAAATTTGTGCAGTAAAGGCTGGCCCATTTTCCAATCCCAGCATTAGGGGGAGGACGAACCGAGGAAAACGATCCTGTAATAGTTTTTTTGCAACCACCAGGGCAGTCTCAGACTTAGTGGGGAAGGCCTCTACACATCCAGAGAATGTATCTACAAACAGAAGGAGGTATCTATAGCCATTTACTGGAGGTTTTATTTCAGTGAAGTCTACTTCCCAGTGCTCTCCAGGGCTAGTCCCTCTGAGTCTTACTCCTACCTGGGTGTATCTGTTCCCTCCCAGGTTTACTCGGGCACACACTTCACATCAAGTGGTGATCTCCCTGACAAGTTCATGCAAATGGGGCATATACTACTTGGCTTTTTGCAGTTCAGTTAGTTTGGTCTGTCCTAAGTGAGTGGCCTGGTGTGTGTCCTTAACCAGGGCCTGTCCTAGAGCCTCGGGGACCACAATCCTTTGGTCTGGCAAAATCCACCACCCTGTGGGGTCCTGTGTGGCATCTTGTTCTTAGCAAAATCGCTGTCACTTGTGGAGTACTTAGGAGTGGGAGGCAGAACTGGGGCTGGTAGAGTTACAAGGAGAGTCAGAGAGCAATACAGAGAAGGCTGAGCCAGTGTCCAGGGGGAGCTTAACTTGGCCCTTTGTGATCAGCATTACCTGGGGCTCTTTGGGGGTGATGGCTTGAGCTGGCGCTTGCCCTGGGCACCTTTAGTCCTGCTATTGGGTCATTTGGTTAGACACCTCAGGCCCTGAGGACCTTTACCCCCTGGGACAGAGTGCTTTCCAGTGATCCTGTTGGCACAGCAGGTACAGATGAGGTATTGGCCCATTCTTCTGGGGACAGTTGATGTCAAGTGTGGCCAGCCCAGCAGATAGCTTGAGCCCATCCCATATTTGAGCCCCTGGGGTCCGCTTGCCTGAAGGCCTTAACTAGGGCAGCAGCCTTTTTCTGATCTCTCCTGTTTCCCTCGTCCTTTCCCTCTTGGTCTTTATTGTAGAACACTGAGGTTGTCTGGTTAGCAGTAAGTTTAAACTCTGTTCCTAGTCCCAAAGCCCACTTCTGAAGCTTCCTCCTGATGTTTGCTGCTGACTGGTTACTAAACTTGTCCCCTAGTACTCACTGACCCTCAATAAAGTCTGGTGACAGGGGAGTGTACCTTCTTAAGACTCCTCACAATTGTTTAAGTCACGGGTCTCCTGGCCACTCCCTTAATCCCTGCTAGAAGATACTGGTGAAAAGTGTTTAGAGCCTGGTGACCTCCCCACCGAGGTATTGAGGTCCCATTAGGGCCGGGAAAAGGGAAAAATCTCTTCACTTTGGTCCCTGGTTCTCCTCTACTGTGCCTCCCCCTGGACCTATGATGGCCTTAAGGAGTTCCTGCCTAATTCTACCCAGCTATCCCAGGTGGGATGATGAGTTTGGAGTTCAGACTTTTTAAGAGCCCTGTCAAAGCCAGGGGCTTTTAGAGAACCAGGGATGTTAAACCCTCCAGTTATATAAATTACTTGAAGAGAAGGGAATGTGGACAAAGAATGGACAACCCCGATTGTCTCCTCCCGCTGGGGGCGCCTCTCGGAGGGGAAGAACTGCCGGTGTGGAGCCCTGCTACAGGTGTGTTGGGGGGACAAAAGCTGGTTACTGATGCTGTCCAGGACGGGATGCTGAGGCCTCAGTTCGGGGAGCCTTGAGTAGGGTGGAGGTTATTATCGATCTTCTGCTGGGGAGTATGGCTGGTGCCGAAGGGGCTTTCTTAGGCATAACTTGTAACCAGCATAACTTGTAACCCAGCATGCTTTATGCAGCGTTTAAGTCAAGAAGGGGGCTGCTGAACTAAGACTAGCCACTGGTCAAGGTATGGAAACTGATCTGGGTAGCCTAGGGGAGCCTGTTACTACACTTTATACAGCCTTTTAGTGTTTTATTTTCATGGACAGAGAACGAACTACACTCGAGTTGCTGAGGACGTAATTTTAGAAGAGGAAGGAGAACAAGGTTATTTCTAGGGGCCAAAACTCGGCCAAAGTCCCCTGAGGCCAATGGTCATTTAACCAGTTAAGAGCATAATCTGGCCCTAGAGAAGCAGGTTTAAACCACTGCAGGTCTGCTAACAAATGTCTTAGGAAACTAGAAAACCCACAAAGAAGACAGGACCACATGAAAGGAGGACATAGAGTGGGTGTCCCCCGTGGGAGACCAGTCTGACGTCTGCCTGGGCACATTCCTGGAGGGATATTTCAGAGCGTCTTGGTGTACCTGTATAAACTCCAGGCCTGGTCACTGTGGAGGGGAATCACTGTTATGCCCTATGGTGTCTCCGTGGAACTGAGGGTGAAGGCCCACACAGGCCCCGTAGCCCTCCGGCCGTGGAACCACACATACACACTTTCACTCTCATACTCACACAGAGGTTATGGAAGACAACCGAAAACTGAATTACCCAAGCCTCCAGTGACATCTCACGGTAGGCTTGCCTAGTCAGAGATTAACGAAAACATCCAGTCTCCTGACCTGGACTCCTGACAGACCTGTCCCCCGATTTCCAGACCTGACTTACCTCCAGAGGTTCCTGGGACCCTGAGGAATTTTGGGTGAATGTCGGCCGAGTAGTCGCCCTTCTGCCACGGGCCAGAACTCTGGGGCCCTGGAACGTCTCAGGGAGCGCCTCCCCTAGACATCCCTGGGGTGGGGACGGTCACTTGGGCGAGACTCCAGGGATTTTGTCTGAGTGGTGATGGAAAATCTCATTGGGGCTGCCAAATGTAACTGAGCAAGCAAGAAATCACCCCAAGACAAAAGAGGTCCAAATCAATTACAGGGTCTTTATTGCGGGCAACCACGGAGGACTCGTGTCTCTCCAACCCGTGGCCCCGTATTCAAGGGGAGCAGGGTTTTTAAGCTGAAAACCCACATCCTGTTTCCAGGAGTGTGGGAGTTATGCAAGCAAGCAGTCTGTACAGATGCCAAGGTCAGGGGTTTATGGGGAAATAGAAGCAATGGAAAATTACAGTTCTGAGAATTGCAGTTACGCCTAAGTTGTTTCAGGGTCTCATTCTGTGATGTCGGTGCCTAGGTCTGCGGCCGTGAGGCCCTGTACTGGCTCCTATCTCAAAGGGATATGTGAGATCCAAACGCCCTAGAAGGAATCCAGGCTCCGAGGTCTCTTCCAGCCCTGATGGCAGAAACTACCGACCCTTATTATGCTAGGTGCTTTCCACATGCCTAGTCACGTAACCCCTCAGCAACCTTGTGAGAACGACCATCCCATTTTTATAGTTAAACAAACTGTAGCTACTGACCCAAGGAGTCAGGGATCTAATCCCAAAGCCTCTGCTGGGTTCGCTGCAGATGGATGTCCGCGAGGACGCCAGCCCTCTTGCCTCCCGCCGGGGCTCCGAACGCCGGCGCGGTCGGCCCAACCTCACTCACTTCCAGCCACCGAGACCCTCCGGTCCGGGGAAGCCCCGCCTTCCCCCAAACGTCTCAGCGCGCTCGCGCCTTTCCGGCTGCGCCGCCCGCCGCCCTGCTTGTCCCCGGTGTGGGGAGAACTCGGGCTGAGGACCCGGCCAGAGAGACGGCGGGGACCGCCCTCCTGCTGCGTCTCCGAGGGCGAGGCCCTTCCTTCCGCGTCCGACCCCCGTGGGGCCGTCAAGTTCCAAGCAGCCCAGGCTGCGGGTCCCCAGGGCGCTTCGGGCCAAGCCGGCGCGGCGCGTGACGAGCAGAGGGCGCCCCAGAGGACCTCTGGGGTGGGACCTCAAGCTCCATGGGCCTTTGAAAATAACGCGGCGGGACAGACCGGGACCACAGAGCAACATAGCAGACCCGCGAAGGCCGCGCCCCTCAATCTCGGCAATTCTGTTGGTCGGTGGCCCAGCTCCACCAATCAGCGAGTGGGCTCCTAGGCAGGCCCTGAGTGACAGCTCTGCGGGCTGGGTCAGGATGTGCGCGTGCGCAGACCGGCCCGACTGACCGCCTTGGGGGCGCGACTCCTGTGGCGCATGCTCAGCGCGCTGCCCAGCCGGGGACCGGAGAATCTGCAGCGCCCGTCGCTCGGCCCTGCATCCCGCCTGGGCATCCCGCACCCGGCCATGACTGCGCACTCCTTCGCCCTCCCGGTCATCATCTTCACCACGTTCTGGGGACTCATCGGCATCGCTGGGCCCTGGTTCGTGCCGAAGGGACCCAACCGCGGGTAAGAAAGGATCGCAGGCCCTGGAGACCTCTCTATCTCCGGCCCCTGGCCGGACTTGCCCCTCCGCCGCGGGGCGCTGGCTTCCTGCCCTGCAGCGAGCCCGAGCGTCCGCAGGAGGGACGCCAGGATCCCGGACGCCTCCTCTGAGATCTCTGCACCTCGGTCTCAGACAGCCGGGAACACGCAGGAGGTGGGGCGAGAGGGCAGATACAGAAGGTAAAGAGGAGAGTGACATTGGAGATGTTGTCACCCCTCCTGCAGCCAGTAAAGGGCATGGGTGGGCACTGACGCCGTTTCTTCACTCCTTGCTAGCTGCATGACCTGGAGCCAATATCAAGCCTCAGTTTTTTCATGGGTTAAAGGAGATAATGTCGACTCCTGCCTTAAAAGGCTGCTATGAGGATGACCTGCGGTAACGCATTTAAAACACCTATGAGTGCACTGCACATAGTTTAGCTGGCGTTATTTCTTGAAGGTCCTCTAGCAGATTGCTACGCTGTTCTTCAGTTTCTGCTTATCGGAGGCTGGAGTTTGTCCAGTTCACCATTGTCTACCCAGTGCCCAGCCAGCACTGGCACAAGCTGCTTAGTAATGTTGAAAAAGGGATCGAGTGCCCCCGTCTCCAGCAGCCGCTTGCAGGGCTTTAGATCAGAGATCAAGGGCCTGGTTTGGATTAGAGTTAGCTTTGCCCAAAGGCTGCTTGGACATATGAGTGCTGCCTTTGTTCTTAAAGACATGCAGGGCTTGGCATCTCACAGCTTCACTTTGTGAGACATTTTCATGTCTTGCCTCTCCTGCTAATTCTGGAAGAGTTCTTGCTTCCGTTTGACTGAAATTTCTCTTGCTGCACTTGAAGCCTCTGTTTCTGGTCTTCTTTGAGTAGACACAAAGTGGCCAGTCCCTGTTCTCTTTGTAACAACTTACTGTGCCTCAGAAGTGGCTCACAGTCTCCCTGCTTTTTGCCCTGTCTTCTAGCCTTTTTTTTTCTCCTTGCCCCATGAATTTTGAATTCCACAGACCACTCCCCGGTGGGTCACCACAAACGCAGCTCTGTGCAGCGCCTTTCTGCTGTACATCTGCTTTAAGATGGAGAAATACTAGGTGGTGGTGAAGGGAGATGAAAGGAAGGACTCTTTTTTTTGAGATGGAGTCTCGCTGTGTCACCAGGCTGGAGTGCAATGGCGTGATCTTGGCTCACTGCAACCTCTGCCTCCCAGGTTCAAGCAATTCTCCTGCCTCAGCCTCCGAGTAGCTGGGATTACAGGTGCGTGCCACCACGCCTGGCTAATTTTTGTATTTTCAGTAGAGACAGGGTTTCACCATGTTGGGCAGAATGGTCTTGATCCCTTGACCTCGTGATCCGCCTGTCTCGGCCTCCCAAAGTGCTGGGATTACAGGCATGAGCCACCACACCCAGTTGAAGGGAAGGACTCTTCAGACAACTTGGATGTAGTCAAGGTTGGCCGCTCCGTGAGTTGACACTTTCAGTTTTTATTTTCTGGCTTGCCATTCTTACCCTGAGTAGAATTCAGCCTCCTGTGTCCAGGAGGCATCAGGAAGGCCAATGGAGAAGAGCTGACTCCAGGAACTCTTGCTCTGGCCCTGGCCAGGCCTTGTGAGGGTGCTGGCAGCATCTGTCCTGACCCGTGTCCTCTTCTGCTGCAGAGTGATCATCACCATGCTGGTCGCCACCGCCGTCTGCTGTTACCTCTTGTAAGTACTACTCTCCCCAGCTCAAAATCAGCCAGTTCCTTTGTCCTCCCTCCTTTCCTCCTCACCGTAGTCTGCTCTTCCATCTGTCCTGATAGTGAACACCTCTTGAAAGGCTGAACCTATAAAACAACAGGAGTGGAGGTGGTATGGAATGGGAAAGAGAGCAGGTCAGCAGTCATGAACCCTGGGCTCTGGATCTGGCTATTACCCGCAGTGTTCTGGCCCCCATGGGCTGCAGCTTTCTCACCTGGGCAAGGAAGGAGTTGGGCCACCTCAGTGCTGTCTGTGCCTGACTGGGTCCCTGAAGTGATTGTTCAAACACAGTTTTCAGGCTGTACCCTAGACCCATGAAATTACAGCTCTTGAGGTCTGCACTTGGAAATTCCTGTTCACGAATGGCCTCAGGTGACTGGAGTGCAGCCAGCTTAGAACCACTAGGTGAGAGGCCGGGTACAGTGGCTCACGCCTGTAATCCCAGCACCTTGGGAAGCCGAGGTGGGTGGATCACGAGGTCAGGAGTTTGAGACCAGCCTGGCCAACATGGTGAAACCCTGTCTCTACTAAAAATACAAAAACTAGCTGGGCGTGGTGGCATGCACTGTAGTCCCAGCTACTCTGGAGGCTGAGGCAGGAGACTCTCTTGAACCCAGGAGGCAGAGGTTGCAGTGAGCCAAGATCGTACCACTGCACTCCAGCCTGGCAACGGAGTGAGACTCCGTCTAAAAAAAAAAAAAAAAAAAAAACTGCCCCCACATCCATCACAATTCTGCTGTCACACTGCTCCATGTTTGGATGATCCTGGCTCCATGTTTGGATGATCCTGGCTGCCACCTGAGAGATAATTTCAAGTTCTAGTTTGTGGGGAGGCCTGTCTCGTGATTAATCAAGCTTCATTAAGGCTGTGGGGTTTCCCAGCTTCCTATGTCTTATACATTATTTTTATGGGTTAAGCTTGGCGTGGTTGGGTGTTCTTAATTCAGAACAATCAAAACAGGCCAGGTAAAGTGATGAGATGCTGATTCTTTAAGAGGTAACAGATTCTTTTGAAAGCAACTGGAATATTTTTTAGAGCTGCCAGATTTTTCAAAATGCATAGACAAAACCCACTTTTAAAAACTTTACTTGATTGATTTCAAATTTGATGCATGTTATAGTTAAAACTGTTTTATCTGATTAGGTCATGGATTCTTTATTCCTATTAATCAATTCTCTTATTTTACCTTATATTTGATTGATTGATTGATTGAAATGGGGTCTTGTGACCAGGCTAGTATGGTTTCAAACTCCTGGGCTCAAATGATCCTCTGCCTCAGCCTCCCCAAGTAGCTGGGATGACAGGTGTATAGAACTGCACCTGGCTGTTAATTAATTAGTGAGTTGACAGGGTCTTGCCGTGTTGCCCAGCCTGGAGTGCAATGGTGGGATCACAGCTCACTGCATCCTCAACCTTCTGGGCTCAAACCATCCTCCCACCTCAGCCTAGCTTTGACCATAGCCGTGTGCGCCACCACGCCTGGCTGATTTTTACATTTTCTGTAGGGACAGGGTCTTGCCATGTTGCTAAGGCTGTACTTGAACTCCTTAGTGTAACCGATCCTTCCACCTCAGCCTCCTGAGTAGCCAGGATTCCAGGCACATGCCACTGCACCCAGAAATGTATAATACCTCCTACTGACAAAAACTAAACGTGTTAGAAATAATGATGACTCTTAACACATGGTTTAACTTAAACACATGGTTTGTTCAAAGTTCTCCCTGGACAGAGCATCTCTAAGGCCCTTTCTCTAATGCTATTTCTTTTTTTTTTTTTTTTGAGACGGAGTTTCACTCTTGTTACCCAGGCTAGAGTGCAATGGCGCGATCTCGGCTCACCGCAACCTCCGCCTCCTGGGTTCAGGCAATTCTCCTGCCTCAACCTCCTCAGTAGCTGGGATTACAGGCACGCGCCACCATGCCCAGCTAATGTTTTTGTATTTTCAGTAGAGACGGGGTTTCACCATGTTGACCAGGATGGTCTCGATCTCTTTACCTCGTGATCCACCCACCTCAGCCTCCCAAAGTGCTGGGATTACAGGCGTGAGCCACCGCGCCCGGCCTCTAATGCTATTTCTAGGTCCTTCAGGGCTTGACAAAATATCCTTATCTGCCCATGGCCGGGCCTCAGAGGGGCTTGGGTTTGGTGGCTGGGAGGGTGGGGGAGACAGGGTCTACACAAGATATGGGGTAATCCCAAATACCAACCGAATCAACATATAGGAAACAGAAAACACACTGCAAATTGGATGCATACAGGTAGAAAGGTGGGGCCATTCTAAGAAAATGTCATGCCTAGAAATTATATTTCCAAAACATAAACTTGGAGAGAATGCTGACGTAAAGCAGGTAGTGATTTCTGATGGCTTCCTGGGCGTTAGGCCCTCCTAGCTACTGTGGGGGATTCAAAGGGAAAAATATCAATCCTTCCTACAGAAACAGACAAAGCAGTGTAAATGTGGTCTTGGGGGCCCTTCCAAATCAGGCACTGTCAGAGCGTGGAGACCTACCAACTACCGTGGTAAATGAGGTTGGGAGGTTTGTCATGAGTGGTGGAGCCAGACAGCCACCCAGACGTCCAGCAGTGATGACAGGGAGGTCAAGTCCCTGAGGGTTTCCTGGCCTGAAGAACAGAGGTGGCCTGGCAGCAGCCTGGGCAGGAGGCCCCTGACCCTTCAGTTCCTCATGTCTTGGAATAGTTCCTTCACCTCCCTCCTAAGAGGAGGTGATTCTGATGTGCTACCTGCCAGGCCCGCCCTGATCACTCCCTGGTTTGTAGAGTCTGGGGACCCAAACAGAGATGTCTGAGGGCATAGCTAGGAGTCGCTCCCAAAGCGCCCCCGAAGCTGCCTCCCCTCTTCCCTGATTCCAGGTCCAGCCTCAGCTCGGGGCTGACCTACAGATTACTGAACATCAAATCAAACCAAACCCACAAGTGCCATACCAACCCCACGCACCTGCCAGAGTGTGGATGATTCCCTGGGCTTGTCTGCCCTGAGAACACAGGCCCCGCCATCCGCTGGGCTGGTCGCGTCCAAAAGAGTGAGACTAAGGCCTCCCCTGTGGGTAAGGGAGGACCCTCCTGTGCCGGCTCACCATGCTTTGCTGTCCCCGGCAGCTGGCTCATTGCCATCCTGGCGCAGCTGAACCCCCTGTTCGGGCCCCAGCTGAAGAATGAGACCATCTGGTATGTCCGCTTCTTGTGGGAGTGACCTGCCACCCCCACCCAGGTACCGTGTGGGTGAGGGGTGTGGGAGGGGAAGAGGGGAAAGACAAGGCTGTGGTGTGAGTTCTTGTTGGGATTCAGGCATCTATTTTGTGGGGAAAAAAGGCAGGGAGGGGACTGAGCATCGACTCCCTTCCTGCTTGGCACTGCGTTGGCTGCCAGGAATGAAATGGGGACCACACTCCCAGAGCCCCCCATCCTCACAGCACTTCACCTCAAGGCAAGGCCATAACCTAGGCCCTAATCTGGACAGAGGGAGAGGGTAAGCTGAGGACTATTCATGCAGGGGCGAGGGTGCTCTCCAGGGAGGGGCGAGGGGAACAGAGTCTCCACTGCGAGGTCAGGACCCTTCCATGTGATGTGCTTTGCAGGTGCAAGCTCTTGGGATGACCATGGCTCCGCTGTCCCTGACTGCCCCTTCGTCTGGACCCTCCCCCGCACCGCTGTGTCTGGTCTTCAGCTCCCTCCTGCTGGCACCCGGCCTGCAGGGCCTGCCTGGTTCGTGGAAGTCTTCCCCGTCTTCCCAGCCAGCCCGGGCCCTGGGGAGCCCTGAGCACAGCAGCGGCTGAGGGGATGTCCTGCTCCAATACCCGCACTGCTCTGGCGTTTGCCCTCTCTCCCGAGGAGATGCTGCTGGGGAGCTGGTAGGGGTGGGGTCTTTCCCTTTACAGATGGGGCAGATGCCAGGACTCAGCCCAGCCTGAGGAGAACATATGTCCTCTTGGAGAGGGTGCTCCAGCCCAGGTCAGGGAGTCATTGCCCAGTCAGCAGCTCTGCCACCAGCCTGCTGGGAACTGGGGGCCTCTACTGGGTTATAGGCAATGCCTTTTCTCTGGCATGGAATTATTTGTTGATTTTCTGACACATCTAGTTGTGAAATTTCTGCAAATGTTGAAGTAGAGAAACATTCGCACACAAAAGCAACATAGTCATGTGGGTCCAGATGGCCTCAGCCCTAGATGTGGCGTCCTTTGCTGCCTCTCCTCAGAATATCCTGTTCCGCCTCCTCCCACCTGGGCCTCCCCTCGGTAGAGCTCTCCCCTCCCCCACCCCAGCCTGTCAGTCTGTGCAGGTTTGGGCTCCGCCTCGGGTTGCAGCGGGGGTAGACTTCAGAGCCTCTCATGGCAGCATCTAAGTGACCAGAGCTGGGATGAGAGACGGGGAAGGGGCAGTGTGAGCAGCTCTGCAGGGCTGCCGAGCCTTGCTCCTGAGCCAGCCCCACCCTCTGCCCCCCACCCCCGGCCCTGGGCTCTGTGCCAGGGATGGTAAAGAATTCCGGCCTGGCAGGAATGGGAAGCAGCACGCAGGGGTCCGGGGCCTCTCCAGCCTTGCCCTCATGCTTACCTGAGGTCCTGGTGTGGTTAACACGGAGTTCACCCACCTTGCCTGGCTCCCAGCCGGGAGCCTGTCCTCACTGCCGCTCCAGGGGAAGAAACACCAGCCTCACTTCTGTATGGACTGCTGATGAGGCCTGCCACCCTGTTTAGCGGGCATTGTCTTTGGAGCAGGAAGAGAATAGGATGCGTTTCACTCATATGCTGGGTCCAGGCTGGCCAGCTGCTCAGGGCTCAGGCTAGGGCCTCCCATTGACATCCTCCCCCAAAACTCCCTCTCCCGGCCTCCGTAGCCACTCCTGTGGGGTGACGGTGCTGAGTGTGACTTGTGCTGATAAACCTGGTTCATGTCTAATAAATAAGGGTGATGAAAAGATTACTGTTTGGTGACAAAGCCCTGGCCTCTGCCTGTGTGCAGGTCCCCCCTCAACCCACCTGATTCTTGTTTCTTCGGTGGGTGGGTCTGGGGAGCAGGAAAGGGCCCCAGCAGCTGCTGTCTACTCTGAGATCTGGAGGAAAATTCGGGCCCCTGCTGACTGCCAGATTTGGCAGAGAACCAACCAGGCCTGGCAGGAAGGCAGAGGACTTGTTCAAGTGCAGCTTGGAGCACCACTCATCTGGGCCCCAGAGGACAGAGTGGAGGACTCCTGGGGCTGAGCAGTGAAGCAGGTCCCCAGTGGCTCCAAGGCCTGCCTCATTAAATATCCTAGGGCTGGGATGTGCCTGCATGGCTTCCTGCAGGGCCAGTGGGGAGGTGGGCAGAGGGAGCCCAGCACTCCAGCCCAGCTTGCAGCTCATGGGCAGAGCTGGAAGAACTTCCCAGGGGGGACAGGAGGTTGGGGCGGGACTGGGAGGTGCACAGTGGAGGCTTCAGATCACTGAGGGCCGAAAGCCAGCTGAGGAGCTTAGATGGATCCCGAGGGCCATGGGGGCCACGAAAGAGATTTAAAGCAGGGCCGTGACATGGCCAGTTGGATTTCTAGCATGATCTCCACAAGCTGCACAGTAGATGGCAGGCTGGTTTGACATCTTTATTAGGGCCCCTGGTGGATGTGGTGAGGACAGAGAAGCGAGGGAGCTGCATGGTGGTGACCCAGAGACCGAGGCTGCGCAGTGGCGGGGAGCGCGGTAGGGCAGGTCCGAGCACGTGCAGGAGCTGTTTCCCTTTGCTTCCTGCTGAGTCGCATGTGTCCAGGGCACCCAGTTGGTAGTGGTTGGATGGGTGGGGTGGATGGTCAGGAGGAAATTGAGGCTGCAGGACGCAGAGTTGGAGCCATTGGCATAAATAACCAGTGATCCCTGAGGGTTGTGGGTTGCTCAGGTTGTTCAAAGTGAGAAAAACCCATAAAAGAACCCCAAGGAGTGTGAAGTCATGGGGTAGGCGGGTGAAGGTGGGCCCATGGAGGATGCCAGGAGGTGGCAGGCAGCCAGAAGACAACCAGGTGAGCGTCGTTCAGGAAGACGAGAGGTTCCACAGGAGAGCGGCTGAGGTAGCACAGATCCCCATTGTCCTCTACCCCCAAGAAGTCAAGGTCCGCTGGCATCTTTGGTGACAGGCAGTGAAGTCAGACTGCAGCGGGCTTGGAGTGAGTGGGCAGGTGGGAGGTGAGCAACACAGTGACCTTAGGGGTGTGGACCCCGTGGGCCCAGTGAAGCTGGGCCTGGAAAGATGAAAAGGAACTAAACAAGGAGGGACCTTCTGCGCCCCTTTTCCCAGGTCGCTGTGGGTCAGCCCTGGGCCTAGGGGAACCACTTTGCCAGCTCCTGCCGCTGCACCTCTGAAGCCATGCCCAGCCCGCCACAGGCCCACCATGAGGGCTTCAGGCTCAGGATGCTGAAGATCCGCATTGGCCCAGGATTAGGGTAGGGGGCATGTCTGCTCTCTGGGTTCTTGGCTTCCATGGTGTTGGATTGGTGGCATCTTTAGACTCTCCTGGAATGTGTGGCTGTGGCTGAATTCTCACTGAGCCCCCTGGGCAGCATCCTCCAGGCCTGGAAGGAGGAGTCCTGGAGAGCTGCTGCCTGCTCTCTGGGCAGCCTCTGGACTGCCGAGGGCTGGCAGCTCCTTCCCTGGCAGGGTGGCCTTTCCCACATTTTCCATCCTTCCTTCCCGTGCAGCCATCTGGGAGAGAGGAGAGGGGCCCAGAGCTCATGTCCACTCCACTCCCTGGCACAATCTGGTCTCCCACACTGTGGTGAGGACCGTGTTCCTCCCAGAGGGTTTCCCTCCTCGCCCGAGGTGGGAACCTGCAAGGTAAGTGGGTCTGTCAAAGATAAACTAAGCTGGGCTATAGTTACAGCTACGAAAACAGATCTTATTCATTAACCACTGACTGTTAGGGGAGAAGCTGAGCTCCGTTCAGATCTGTGCAGGGAACCGGACAGTTTAATGGGAGAATGCAGGAGTCAGGAAGGGGCACTCTGTGGCTCAGGAACCATGGGAATGAAATATTACAAAGGGCTGTCGTGTTGATGTGGCCAGGCCAGCTGTGTGTGCCAGCTGGCAGTGGTGGAAGTTAGGTTCTGTCCTCCCCCAGAGCCTGGGAAATGGGCCCCATCCTTTCTGATGATGCCATTTCAAAGGACTGGCTTTTAGGGTCTTGAGAAAGACACTCCTGGACAGACATGCATGTACATTTCAAAGGGACAAGGGAAGGAGTTACGACTCTAACCCTTTTTAATGTAAGTGCTCTAAGTAATGTAAGTGTTGCGGTGGGGATGGTCAGAGGCCTGTTGTCAGGTGTTGGTAGGAACAAACACTAAATTATTTTGACAGCCTGGAGCTTTTTCAGACAGGAACTCAAAGGGTGGCCAGGTGGCCCCAGGGATGCTGCTTTGGGCTGCCAGAAGCTGTGCTAGGGTTGGTCCATTCTCTTGGTGCCGGGGTTTGGACACAGTCACTATGTACCCAACTTCTTTTATAGTTCTCAGTTTCAAACCCCACCCGCCCCTGATACCACCCCCAATATGGGAGACACATCAGTAAATGTCAGCCTCTGACACAGATGCGCATGAACCTATATGATGCCAAACAGCTCTGGAAATGGGCCGTGGCTGAGAGTAGGGCTGCCCTGAACCATACCAAGTGGCAGAGCGGGAAGTGGCCTTGGAGGCCACCCTGGGACAGAGGACAAAGCCACTGAGAACAAAAAGTGAAGGTAGCCAAGAAAAGTGAAGCTACACACGGAGTGTGGCCGATAGAGGGCAGCACCTGTGTGCAGGATGAAGTCTCCAGCGAGACCTTGTCCAATCTATGCATCGCTGGGGGTGGATGGTGCTGAGGTCAGAGATGGTGGCCCTAGAGCCATAGGCTTGGGCAGGGAGCCACAGTAATTCTCCAGACAATACCACAGACTGGAGGAAACGCCCTTCAGTGATATTTCATAGTGGCAATGGCTATCAGCATTGAGCAATTACAGGTGCCAGGTGCTGCTTCGGAAACCAAAGGGCCATACGAAGAGCCTGGCCATTCTCCACTCCAATCCCAGGCTTCTGGAACCGTCTTCTGGTTCCATCTTCCCGAACTGTTTCCTACCTCAACACCCCTGAGAGATCTGGCACATTCCATTCTATCACAGGGACGCCACAGATTCTTGCTGCAGGGAGTGAGGTGCTGTTCCTGCTGACCATGGGGTCCACACTCCCTGCTGAAGCCCCCAGAAAACAGCCCTCAGTTAATTTTGGCTGCATTGAACAGAAATAGGGTAGCTGATAATTCTGGAAAAGTGAGGAGCCAGAGGTGGAATGAGACGAGTGGCTAATGGCCTTATCTGTGTGCTGGAAGTGACCTGTGGATAAACTTCTGGGCTTCCAGGAACGGAATCAGTTGGTGGCCACCACAGGTTTGCTGGACCTGTAACACCGGAATGTAAGGGCAGATGACCAGAGTCCTGTGTGGATTCAGGCCACATACTGGGTTAGCAAATCTAAATGTGAATCTCTTTGGGGAGAGATATTGGTCAAAAGATAAGAGAATTTCAGTTAGGCAAGAAGAATAAACCCAAGAAATGTAATGTGCAACCCATGGTGACAAAGCACACAACAGTGTGTTTATGCTTGGAAATCAATGAGAGTCAATTTCACAAAATGAAAAGGGAGGTAACGCATCTGTTGTTAGCTTAATTTAGCCATTCCACATACATTTCCAAAATGTGTTATATACCTACATGTATGCAATTTTTGTCAACTTAAAAATAATTGAAAAAAAAAAAAGAATCTCTCAAACCAAACCAAAGAACCCATGGAATACTGGGATGGAAGCCATGTCTATTATGACAGAACCTCCAGGGATGAAGGAGGCGGGGACTTCTGCCAGCTCTCCAGGTGCCTCTCCTGCAGGCAGACCCACCCAGGGCCAGCGTTTGGGCTTCATGCACCGGGTGCAGCCTGCAGTGCTACTTCTCAATGTGGAGTACGGTCTCCTGTAATAGAATAATCTGGAATGCTTGAAAGTATGGGTTCCTGGGTCCCACACTTCACCCAATGGGTTTAGTGTCACATAGGGGGTTCTAGACTTCACATTTTAAACCAGCTCCCAAGGGTTTCGGTGCTAACTGAAGCCCTCAAGGACAGGATTCTGAGCCTTGGCACTGCTGACAATTTGGGCTAGATAATTCTTTGGGGTTTCTGTGGGGGAGGGGGAGCAAGGGAGGGCACTGTTCTGTGCATCCTACGATGCATGGCAGCACCCTTCCCTTTGCCCACCAGATGCTGGCAGAACCCCTCTCCCTGCTCGTGGCCGTGACAACTATAAATGTCTGCAGGCATTTTGAAATGCTCCCTAGGGAAGCACCCCTACCATTGAAACCACTACTCTAGAACCTCAACCCCTCGAGGGATTTCCAAACTTAGTTATCAACCCAGACCCTCAGGAAAGGAGGCTGGGAGGCCCTGAGGGGAGCCAGGAGCCTTCACCTGGCTTCCCCAGCAGGACTGGAACTTCTAACCAGGAGACCACGCCTCAGAAAGAAGGAAGCCTCCAAGCTGCCAGGGACTACCAGGTATCAGAGCAGGCATGAGCTGGTCCCTCTGCGAGCTGGTGCTTCCCAGGAGGCCGGGGACAGGGAGCCCTGGCACTGCCCCGAGCCCAGCTGAACTTTGTGCTTTCCCTCCAGGAGGCTCCCTGAGCAGGGTGGGTGGACATGGTTGGGATGGATATTCTCAGACCCCTGCAGGAACCCCATCTTGGCTCCCTAACCTCAGGATTAAGGGCCATGATAGCAGCAAGGGTCTTCCTCCCTCCTGAAATGTCAGTGTTTCATCCTCTGACAAAGACCTGGGACATACGGGGTGGTGGCTTCATCTTCTCATTCTGTGTCCTGTACAGCAGGAGCCCCCGGCTCTGAATTCCTGTGGATTCTGCAGCTTCAATCAGCAATGCCAGGTGC